GGGCGAGGGCCGACGCGGGCGTCGGGGCGAGCGGGCGGCGAGAGGCGAGCGACCGTGTGTGAAGAGCGAGGCGAGGGGCGGGCTGCGGGTGTCGGCGCGGCGAGCAGCTCATACTTACCTGGCAGGGGAGACACCATGATCACGAAGGTGGTTTTCCCAGGGCGAGGCTCATCCATTGCACTCCGGGTGTGCTGACCCCTGCGATTTCCCCAAATGTGGGAAACTCGACTGCATAATTTGTGGTAGTGGGGGACTGCGTTCGCGCTCTCCCCCGGTTATCTGTGACTAAAGTAAGAGTTTCGGTCTGCGGTTTTACTTTTACTGTTTTCAGTTGTGTTGATTATGGCTCTTTCCATCTTAAGGTCCTGGCTGTCTTTTTCAGGGCGGGTGGGATTCTCATGAAACTGTAAAATACTTTCTGCACTTGTGTTTCCTAAATTGCGTCACGTTGTTTTTGTTTAGCGGTGTTTGAAGTGTGGTCGCTGAAAGAAGCAACCTCCGCAAAGTTTTAAGGATACTGTTCTCTAGGTTTCTCATTTTTTGCAGGATTCGTGATTCACAATCAGTGTTTCAACAACATGCCCAGTAAACAATACGCCCATTGAAGACTCTGGAGCTCGGGTTACAGCATACTGTTAAATTTTTTATTTTTAAAGATTGATTTATTGGCCCTCCCTGGTGGCACAAGGGGTTAAGTCGCACACTGTGGAGCTGTCTGCAGCCACAATAGCACAAGTTCGATTCCTGGACGTGTATTTCAGTCAATCTGCCTCTTCTGCTCCCCACTCTGTGGTGAATCCTCTCAGAAACCCCAGACCTCTGGCCTGTACCCCAGTTCTTGTATGCATAAATAAATAAATCTTTGAAAAAAGAAAAGCCACCCCACAGTGCAGGCTGGAGCACACACTAAACCCCTCATGGTTGTGAAAACGAGAAGCAGCGTCAGGAACAGCTGCCAAAGAGAAAAGTCGATCAAATGGAAGAAGATGATCTCACCCAGTTGGAGCAGGCGGTGACACTTGAAATGGATTCTAACATGGGAACCAAGATGATGGGAACCAAGATGATTTATTTTGGGGGGTGATGTGCTAGATCCCTGGAATATTTTGCTTAACTACAAAACGGAATGTTGTGATGAAAACACATGGAATGTTTCATGTGAAGTTAAATATACGGTAAAGCAGGAATCTCAGCATAAGACAGAGAGCACTTGAGCTGCCCTGAAAGTTTCTGTGCATTTCAAGTCACTGTTAAGTCAGTTAATTTCTCAAGGTCTCTCCCGAAAAACACAAGACACTGCGATCCTTTGCGGGGCGGCCCCCAGCAGATCCAGGGCACGCACGGTGGGGGGCTCAGGGCCAGAGCCAGGGTCTGTGGCTTCCAGACAGCCGCTCAGGCTCGGGCGCCGGGGCCTCTGCGGCATCACCTGGGCCTGGAGCGCGGCAGGCGCTGGGGCCTGGAGGGCGCACACCTGGGGCGCAGGGCGGCGCATATAAGGGGGCGACTCCGCGAGCCGGCGGGCTCCTGCCCTGCAGCAGCGAGAGGGAACCCGACTTCGCGGGAACGCCAGCGAGAGCCCAGGAGAGTCCAGATGCCCCGGGGTCTGCCCGCCCTGCGGTCCCCCTCCTCACCCCGGATCCCGGCCCCTCCACCTCCGCCCTCCCGCCCTGCAGCCCCCACCTCACCTCACCCCGGATCCCGGCCCCTCCGCCCCCGGCCCGCCCCGAAAGTCTGGATTCGCAGGGGCCGGGAGCCTCTCCCCGGGCCTCCTGCCCGCCGTGCCCCCGGGCGCCGAGCTGCGCTGTCGGGGAGAACGCGAAAGTCCCAAGCCAGCCCCCGGGAGCCCCAGGACCCTCTGCCCGTGTGCCCGGAGCCCCCGGAGCCGGCCCCGCAGCCGCCCCACGGCCGGCCCGGGCGGCAGGACCCGGCGCAGACGGGCACGCGGCCTCCCAAGGCCTCGGGCAGGAGCGAGGGGCGCGGCTCCTCTCTGCGGCCCCCGGACCCGGCGCCACGTGGGACGGTGCACCCGCCGGGGGCGCCGCGGACGGACTTAGCCCGGCTCAGAGCAGGGCTGGGGTGAGCGTCCCCCAAGCTCTGCCCGTGGGGAGGGGACGACCCTGGAGGCGCCGCGGGCCCCCAGAAGGCGGACGCGGCCCGGGAGCTGCCGGAGGAGGCCTGCGGGGAGGGAGGGAGCTGCCGGCGGGGACCCACCCGCTCCCCGGCGCACCCCACGGAGGGCGGGGGCTCGCGGCCACGCCAGAGGCTCGGGACGGGGCGGGGGGCGCCTTCTCATGGCGCCGGGGACAGGGGGAGCGAGGGGCCCCACTGTGCCCCCGGAGAGGAGAGTCGGGGTGCCTTAAGCGGCGTGGGGCGGGGGGACGGTTTCCGCAGCAGGCGGGAGAGTCTCAAAAAGCCGCCCAGAGCAGCCAAGGCGGGCGCCGAGGCCGGAGCCCTGCCCGTGGGGCGCGAGCCGCGGGGCTCCCGGAGCAGCTGCGCCTCCTCGCGGCACCTGTGGGCGAGGCCCGGGGCTGGAGCCTGAGGGTGAGGGCGGAGGAGCCTCCGGGGCGGCGGGGGACGTGGCCTGTGGGGCGCCCGCGGGGAGCTGGTCTCCAGGGCCTGGCGCGGGGGCCGCCCGCTGCGGGGTGACGAGACCTGGAGCGGCGGGGACGGCAGTGAGCACCCCTGGGGCTGCGCGGTCACCCCAAGAGAGCTGAGTGTCTCAGACCTCAGAGTGCGCGCAGCTGGGGGTGGGGTTTGGGGTGTGGCTGGCGCTGAGCCCGCAGCCCCGAGAGGCTGGAGCCGGGCGCCCCTGCACGGGACCGCCGAGGCGCCCAGACTGAGCGGCGGTTCCCCTGCGGGGAGCGGGGCTGTGGGGGCGGTCGGGAGCGACCATGGGCGGGGCCCGCACCCGGGCGCCTCGTTCCGCCCTCGGGGGCGCCCTGTCTGAAGGACGGTCTCCGCTGCGGCTGCGGTGATGTGGTGCTCGGTTGCGCCGCTCGGCTGTGCGGGCCACGGCCGCAGGGTCCCGTGGCCAAGAGAAGCCAGGTGGGGACCGTCCAGAGACAGCAAATGGCGGGGTGGAAGGAGGGCTACGGGAAGCTGCTTCCTTTTGGGGTTTGCGCCGAACGCCTTTGTGGCAACCTGCAGCTGGGAAAACTGGGGGCCTTGGGAGTGTGGGCTTCGCCTCGGCGGCCTGCGGGTGAGCGCCCGGGGAAGGGGTGGGCGTGCTCGCGCGGGCACCTGAGGCTGGGGGCTGAGATAATAAAGGCTGCAGTAGGGAGCAAGGAGCGAAGGGGAACAACCAGAGCATCGCCGCTGGAGATAAGGTCCCGGGAATGGGGGTGGAGGACCCCGGCCCCCCCCAGGGGGGCGCCCCCTACCGGCGGTTCTGAAGATGTCACTTGCGCCTGCGCAGTCGGGTGGGTGGCTCTGGCTCACCTGGGGCGGAGCCTGGGGCTTCTCAGCGCTTCTGGGCCAGGTGAGGCCTCTTCCCCTTCAGTGATGCGGGTTGCCCAGGGCTTGCGTGCAGGCCTATTTTGAGATTTTGGCAGGGGCGGTCATCGCTTGTCTGTGGCTACAGGGGGTGTCCTCCCTGAGTGACCTCGCCCCTCCGCCCAGGGCGTCTTCGGGGCACAGCCTGACCCTGGGGGTGTGAGTGCGAGCGGAGGGTGCAGGTGTCCCTCTACCCCCCGGCTCGTGTGGCCAGGGCCAGGGGGTGCTAGGAGGTTTGGGGAGTCCTGGAGATGCAGCAGCTGGACATCAGCGGGCGGGCCCCCCCTCTCTGCTTGGAGCCCCCCTTGGAGTCTCAGGGTCGCGGGCAGGGCGGGGCCTTGAGCGGCGCTGCCTCTGCTGAGGGCAGTTGGGCAGAGGCTCTGGCCGGGGCCGGCACCCGCTGCCCGCGCTGGGGGGAGCTGGGAGTCAGCGGCCCCCGCTCCATCCCGGGGGCAGGAGGACGCTGTCCTGAGCTCGGTCTCTCCATCGTGATCCCCATGGCGGCCATGTCTCTCCTGCAGCTCAGGTCGTGCTCAGCTTCCCCGTGAGAACTGGGGACCATTTCAGGTCTTGACATGGGCCTCCGGGGGTGGGGGCAGGGGGATGCAGATGGAGATCCCCAGCTCTGGCCAGCCCATGCAGCACGAGTCGCCCCCCCCCACCCCCCACGGGCCAGGAGCAGCCCACAGGGCACAGCAGACCTCCCCGTCTCCCTGCTGCCCTCCTCAGCCGTGGATTTCAGTCCATCTGCCAGTTCTGCTCCCCACTCTGTCTCTGGTGAATCCTCTCACCTCCTGCACCTCTGCCCTAGACCCCAGTTCTTGTTTGCATAAAAATAAATACATCTTTTAAAAATAGATAATTTTAAGAATTAGCTTACTTACTCATAATTTCCAATATTTTGAACTATGAACTATAATACCCGTGTTTACAGTAAGGGCAGAGACTATACAGGTGAAAATTTAGAATTACAAAATGAACTCCCATTAACTGGGTGAAGAATCCTAAGACCACACTGTACCATAATCTTCCTCCCCAAGTAAGCAGGAATATGTGGCTGTCATAATTATTTCCCTTGCCCTTCATGACAGTTCATCACCTAAGTGTGTATCACTAAATGCATACCGAACACATGATTTTCCATTTTGTCTGGTATTTAAAATTTAAATCAATCCTATTATGTTCATTTTATATCTGGAATAATGCTATGCCTACAATCTATCTTTCCTCCTTCATTTAACATAATACAAGTATTTTCTAACTCATTTAAAACTATTCAGAATGAATTGCTACATTTGTTTCATGTACATAGTGTACTATATTTCGCTGTTTCCTAGAGTTTTTTTTTTAATTGCAAACCAGCAACTTTTTTTTAAAGATTTATTTATTTATTTATACATACAAGCACTGGGTACAGTCAGAAGAGCGGGAGGGTGAGAGAATTCACCAGAGCCAGAGCGGGGAGCAGAGCAGGCAGAAGGACCGAAGTACACTGCTGAGGGGAGCAGCGGGCGGCAGGGGAGGTCTGTGCGCCATACAGGACCCTCCTCTGGTGGCCGGGGAGCAGCCGGGGATCGAACCGGCGCTGCAGAGGGAGTTTCCAAAATTTAAAATGGATTACTCATTGAACACATATTTTATCAAATGCAATTGCCTATACACAGAGATGCTTTGGTGTATTTGACCATTCTTACATGGGTTTTTCTTATTCAATAATTATTTGCCTAACATTCAGTGTAAGCCATTTATCATCAAAATTTTAATCAAGAATACATCTTTGACAATATTGTCATTCTCTCAGTACTTGCTACCAACCACCACAGGATTTACCTACAGACACACACACACACATGCGCTCCCACACTCTTTTTCTAGATGCAGCCTCTGAGGCTCCTGCGCCTGTGACCAGCAGCATCAGCAAACAGCAGCCCCCATGCTCCCCAGCAGGACAGCAGGCGATGGAGACCAAGCTGATCCCGACAGTCAGGTCCACTTCTGTTAGAGGAGCAGCATCTTTTGAAGACACAGGACAAGAGCAGGAGGAGATGCTGGGAGCAGGAATAAGGATCATCTCCGGGTAGTCACAGAAATTTCATGTTTTATTTACTCATTCTGTACTGAACTATCACGCCTTTGAGAAATCTGTATTACTTGCAGGCCCAGAATTTACTTCCCTGCAGTGTAAGCACTCTCGTCAGTGCTACTTCATCATTTAACATTGCAATATAACTCGTTTCCTCATCATTAAAAACTATTCAGTGTTACTGTGTCGATCTAGTTTTTACATTTAATTTTGTATATATTGGGGTTTTTTATTTAGATAGTTTCAAATCATTTTACTGTAAAGTGTTGGTAAACATTTTTACACATAAAGATTTTTATCTGAATTTGAAAACATTTCCTTAGGTCATTTCCAAAAATAAAATTATTATTTCCATTGAAAATGTAAGTATTTTAAATTCAAAGCTCCCTGCAGAGGGGTTGTGAACTTATTTCTCAGGAATAGTTAGGACACATTTCCTAGTCTCACTAACATTTTAGCCTATCCAGTTTTCCTCTTCAAGGCTCTGGACACAAATTCCCACCACACTCTGCTGCTCTTGCCTCTGCACTGGGCCTGCCCCTTCCCCGTGGGCTGTCATGGCTGTTCTCCACACCGTCAATGGACTCTGCCCCACAGGACCCCTCGTGGTACCCAAGCTTGGCCACCTGGGCCTTTTCTCCCCTTTTGGCCATTTGTCAAGGATTTGCTGTCTCACTACTGATGGCCACCAGGCGGCGCCCTCCCCCGTTATTTTCACATGGTCCTCACCGCCCTTTCTATTCCCTGAAACACTTCTCTGCATTTTATTCAGAGTCCAGCCCATACATTATTCCGAGCTTGGCCCTTTTACCTCGTTCCTCCTCCCGTTTCCCGCCTTTCTCTCCACCTTTCTCACCCCTCCTGGCGCTTTACCTTACCCGTCCCACTGCCATCATCATTCTGCGTTTCCCCTACATTATCCCTCCGGGCCACAAGGCGGCGCCACCCGCTCCACCCGCGACTTCATTACGCTGCAGGGAGCCGGTCTGCTCGGCCACTTCCGGTCCAGCTGGCGTTTATGGCCTCGATTTTCCCACGATACCACCCCGGTCCACAAGGCGGCGACACTCTCTTCCCGCCGCATTATTTCGACCCCCAAGGAGCCACTCTTGGCGCAGCCAGCTCCCGGAGGCTGCCGTTTGTGGCCACGATTTTCCCACGATTCCACCCCTGTCCACAAGGCGGCGAAACTCGCTCCTCTCGCCCCTTTAGTTTGCTGCCGGGAGCCGCTCTTGGCGCGGCCACTTCTGGTCCTGCTCGCGTTTCTGGCCTCGATTTTCCCACGATACCACCCCAGTCCACAAGGCGGCGACACTCGCTCCTCTCAGCCCTTTAATTTGCCGCGGGGAGCCGCTCTTGGCGCGGCCACTTCTGGTCTGGCTGCCTTTTGGGCTGTGATTTTCCCACGATACCACCCCGATCCACAAGGCGGAGACACTCGCTCTTGTCGCCACTTTATTTTGCTCCCCAGGAGCCGCTCTTGGCGCAGCCACTTCAGCTCCCGCTTGCGTTTATGGACCCGATTTTCCCACGATACCACCCCGGTCCACAAGGCGGAGACACTCGCTCATCTCGCCGCTTTATTTCGCCCCCAGGAGCCGCTCTTGGCGCGGCCACTTCTGGTCTGGCTGCCTTTTCTGCTGCGATTTTCCCACGATACCACCCCGGCCCACAAGGCGGCGACACTCGCTTGTCTAGCTCCTTTAGTTTGCCCCTGCGAGCCGCTCTTGGCGTGACCGCTCACATTACGCCTGGTGCATCCTGGGAGTCGCAGAGTGATGACGTAACTGCCGAGGGCGCACTTAAAGGGCCAATACCGCGAAGTACTGATGAAGGACCGGCGGGGGCGGTCTGAAAGCGCCGCTGGCTGCGCTGGGAAATGGCGGGAGCTGAGACAAGTGAGGCCCGCGCCGCGACACAGGGGAGGGCGGGAGGCTTCACCAGTAAACGGGACAGAACAAATGATGGCAGGAGAGGAAATCTGTCCTCACTATTCCTGAGAAATAAGTTCACAACACTTCTGCAGGGAACTTTGAATTTAAAATACTTACATTTTCTTTTTTTTTTTTTAAGATTTATTTATTTATATAACAGCCGGGGAACAGGCCCGATGCGCGGGGCGTGAGAGGATTCACCAGAGACAGAACGGGGAACAAAACAGGCAGGCTGATGAAACACACTGCTGAGGGGCGCAGCAGGGAGCCAGGAGAGGTCTGCCGCACCATGTGGGTTGCTCCGAGGCCGGCGGGGATCAACCCGGCGCTGCAGTGGCTACGGACAGCTTCCCGGGGCTGCGCTCCACCCGCTGCGCCCCCGGGGAGGCATTAAAATACTTATATTTTCAATGGCAATAGTAATTTTAATTTTGGAAATGACCTAAGGAAATGTTTTCAAATTCAGATAAATCTTTATGTGTAAAAATGTTCACTAACACTTTATTTACAGTAAAATGATTTGAAACTAAATAAAAACAGCCACTGTATACGTAATTAAATGTAAAAACTAGATACAGTAACACTAAATAGTTTTTAATGATGTAGAAAATCTTTATATTAGTGTTAAATGTTGAAAGTGGAAAATTCTAGCAATGAAGTCATTCCACCACAGAAGGAAAATATTAATGAAACGTCCTCTCCTAACCCCTTACGTGTGAGAACACAATGTAAACAATAGCATTGAGTGGACTGTTACACAGCAGTGAGAATAAACAGTCTAGCTGCATCCAAAATGTGGACTAGTCTTGCCTTCATACTGTTGAGTGACATCCAAGACAGAAACAGAACATGATTAAATATTAAACATCACACAAAATTAAAGTCACATTTTAATGATACATGCAGTGATACATACCTAGAATATGTAGTGACAAGCAAAGAAAAAAATTAGTGACAGCCATATAGGGGCTTCCTTATGGACAAAGATCCTATGTGACTTTTCAGTCCTTGACCTATTTAATGAAAGCTCATTTTATAATTCTCAAGCTACTACCTACCTTCTACACAGGCATTCTATTTCACAATTGCAAATATTGTGGAAAAAACTAGGAAGGAAACATGCTAAGTCATAAGAATACTTGTTGATACTGTTCATCCTATTTTATTCTACTCTTCACATTTTCTATAATATACACAACTCCCTGTCATTATCAGGACCAGTAACAGGAGCTGATGAAAACTCCATTGGTAAAATTACCTCCTTGCTCCTTGGCAGGGGAAAAGTAATTTTTAAAAAGTCTTAAGAATTCCATGTAGTTAAAAAAAACATTTTAGGATGAAATATGGCCTCCTGCTAGTCACACAGCAACGTTGGGAGTTAATGTCAAGATCACCCTATTTTTTTTTAGGGAGGGGGTTTGGGTTTCTAGCCTGAACCTGTATAAAAATCCTTTGCCCTTTTTCTTCATTTTTAAATTTAGAAATGTATTCTGTTTAATCCACAGCTGTATATAGCTTTAAATAAAAATAAAGCAGTGAAAACAAGACACTACTTCAAAATCTGGGCCCTTCCAGCTTCCAAATGCAAGAGTCCTGAAAGTTGTCTACACCTACAGGAGGAGCAGGACAGAATAATGAATGGAGCCAGAATATGTCATAAAACAAAATTTTGTATAATTGAAAGCTCCTTCCTGTGACTAGTTCCTTGCCTTTACAAAAAGAAAAAGGAGAATTGAACAGAATAGAATAGAATGGATTTCCCGTATCCAGCTCAAGCTGTCACAGGTCAGTATAAATCCATTGTCCTGGCAAAGATCATAGTTGATAGTTCAACCGTGGCTTTCACTTTCTATCTCACCTAGAGCTCAAACCCTGGCTCATTCAGTGGAGACCCCACAGGTAGCAGGAAAGACGGCATTAAAACACTCACATAACCTTTTATGGTAGCGCCAAAGTGTCCTTATTATAACAACTGTCCTCTATAACTTGATAAACAGGATTTATCTCTGGAATATTCTTTCTTCATCTTCCCCAAACACATCTAATGTGTCTTTTTAGAAAAAATAACACCAACGTGGGTTTTTTAAATGCTGTTTTATGAATGTTCCATAATAGGAAAAAGTAACATGTCAGGGGGGACTCACTACCTGTATGCAATTTATTTTATTTCATTGTAGTTTTGGGATAAAGTATTTTGTTGCCAGCTCAAAATGAGAAGATACTTGTGTGGTGTGGTGGAGCCACGAATGAGATGATCTTCAGAGGCGATGACAACATCGATCATGGTTTTTATTAACACAGATGCGTCGTAATTAAAGCTCTGGCATCTGAGTGTCACTTACCCGAACTCCTGGTCACCCTGAGCTTCGTCAACATCGGGCGCTGTTCATTAGCCTGAAACAGAAAATAAGTCACGGGATGGATTTATATGAGCGTTTTCAGGCAAAAGAGAAATGGCGCCGGCGGAAGGTACAGGGCATTTCTCTTAGGAAGTGGTTTTTATAAAGACCACAATTGTACGGATCTCCCGCCGTCCTACCTTGGGGGGCACTCCGTGTCCCTTCCCAGTGACCTGACCCTGCACCCCAGGAATCCTTCAGACCTAGTTCTCCTTCCCACCGTTATCCAGCATGACCTGGTCCCGCGGGTTCTCAGACTCGCCGCCCCACGGCTGTGCAGCTTCTGCCAAAGGGAGCCGCTCCCCTGCGAGAGGCTTCTGCCCGGGCGGGATCTGGAATCAGAGATGGGACAGCTCTGGACTCAGGGAGCAAAGCGCTACTGGGACTTCACCAGAAGAAAGGGGGACAGGAAACAGTGGCTGACGCACCTGGGAGGGGGTACAGGGAAGTGTCCCCAGAAAGGAAGGAGACACTGTGCTCAGGTACGCACCATCATTTCCGCCAAAGCCCCGCCCCCCCCCTTGGCCCCGGAAAGCTCGGCTGAGGGCGCGGCTGCTCCTTGGTCCCAGACGCAGCCCCGCCCGGCCCGGGAGCCCGACCCGCCTGCCCTTGGCGCGTCTGGGGCTCGAGCTGCCGCGGTTGATCAGGCCCCTGCGTCCCTCCGCCCCCCAACATGACTTGGTGACTGTGCCGAGCGCCCGCTCGTGCCCGCTGCCCTTCCCTGCCCTCCTCACCCCCCTCCTGCCCGCCCTCCTGAGCCTGGGGGGTCCCGCGTACTTGCTCGGGGCTCCGGCCCCACTAGTGGACTCGGTCTGGGCGGCAGCGGCAGCTGCGCTCGTGTCTCCGTCAGTCCGTCTCCGAGGGCGACCCCGGCCCGCCAGTGGCCTCCTCCCGTCAGTGGAAGGCCCGCGGGCGACCCTGGGGCTCCCGGGGAGACGTTTCTCGGCGCAGACGCCCCGTCCCGGCCTGGCCCGTGCTGTCCTGCGTGCGCCCCCGCTCCACCAGCTCCCCACGAAGCCGCTGCTCCCAGGACAAAGGGCACCGACTCGGGTTTCCCTTTTCTGTCCTGCAGGTCCGGAACTGAGACTGCGGCGGAGCCGCCGGGAGCAGGATGCACGGGCTGCGGCCCCGCCGGACTCTGCAGCGGAGAGACTGGCCGCGCCGGCACCCCCGGGAGCTGGAGGGCGGAGACAGCGCGGCCGCGGGGTCCAGAAGCCCTGGAGGCGCGGTTGGGGGGGTGCAGGGGAGGGGGAGGGGGGCCGGGGGAAGGGCGGGGCCCGTCGCTCCAGGCTTAGCGGCATCGAAGGACTCCCCCAAAAGCCGCCACCTTCGGGGCGCCCAGCTGCCGCAGCACCGCATGGCCCACTAGGCGCAGGTCCGCCGCAGCCTCCCTCCCTCCCTCCCCGGAACCATAATCACAGCAGGACCCCCAACATATCTCACCAGTCATGTCTCCATAGTGGGCAACTTGTGCAATCAAAAAGATAACCAGCCACCCCTCCCCGGGAACTGAGCCCCCACCAGGTACTAAGTCCGCCCCAGAGGAACCGAGTCCCCCCCAGGGGCGCCACGTCCCCCCAGAGTCCTCCCAGGGCCCCCAGGCACCATTGTCTGTGGTCCCCTGGCCACCTCTGTCCTATTTCCCGGTAGACAAGGGTTCGTGTGAATATTCGCTCGTTTGCCTGAATGTGCCCCCACACGGGCGGCCCCTGGGGATTCCGTTCATTCTCTTACACCCTACACACGGCGTTCCCCGAGGTGCCCACAGACTGGGCACAACATCGACTGACTAACTGCCCTGTATCTAGGACAACAAGTCTACACAAAAATCCCACATTTTAAAAAAACCAACGACATTTTCCAATTATACCGAAAAGTATAAAGCGTGGTGTATTGCCTAATCGAATACCTTTTAAGTTTTAAACACCACCAAGAAAAAGAAGAGTTTACTAGGCTTTATAATAGATAACTGCTTTTGCAATAGGTTATGAAAATGCCTGTACATTTCTAAATTTATCTGACCTCGCTTTACTGGTAATACCTTCGCTTTCATGTCTAAGCAAAATCAGCTCCTAAACAGCTGCAGCATCATCCCAACAGTGAATCTCTTCATATCCTTGTCCAGTCCATACTCAGGTTTCTTTGTTCCATCCCCAAAAGTTTGAAAAACATAATTTATTTGAAAATAAATTAAGCTCAAGGGATCTGCGGGTGTATAACTGAAGGAGGAGAGCCCAGACCCGGGAGGCCACTTAGCTCAGCTCAGCTCTGCGAAGGAACCAGGGATTGTTGGACTTTTTGCTTCTGGTCTGGCATCACCCACACTGGCCCTGGCACACAGTAGGTCCTCAGAAAACATCTGGGGAAATGAGTAAGTGGGGAAAGCCCTGGCCTGGCCCTGGTGCCCAGCAGGTCAGGAATTGTGGAGTCTGAATCTCCCCTGTACTCTGGATGTCACCCAGGCTTCAGCACACAGTGGGTCCTTAGGAAGAATGAGTCCTGGGGTGAACGGATGAATCGTGAGCATTCACAGCTCTAGCCATGGGGGCCCTCCAACTCAGAAACCAAGCATCCTGGTTCTTTCCTGCACCCGGCCATTGTCATACTGTAGGTCCGTTCACCCAGCATCCACTCTAGAGTCCTGGAAGGTGAGAGACAACGCACAGTTGTTTCCTCCTAGGGCCGCAGACACCATCTAAGTCTCGGTACACACTAGGTCCTTAACAAATGCTGCACTGGACTATTCAGCTGAACGGGCCCAGACTCGGAGCTCAGGGTTATAACCACGCAGTCCAGCTCCTCCCTCTGGCCCACATTTCCCCGCCCCTGCCTCCGCACACAGTGGGTGCTCAAGAAATGCCGAGGGGCAGATTTCACTCAGGCGAGAGCCTGAGTGAAATGAGTAAGTGGGGAAAGCCCTTACTCCCCCGCAGGAAGTCAGCGCCCTCTCCCGATATGTGAACGAACTTTTCGTCTCTCGGGACGCCCCTCACTTCGGCTTCCACATGAAGCTCCTTACTGGGGTGTTTTTCTCACCTCGGCACCGGCGGGTCTGCGCCGGTCAACCCGACGGACAAATGCAAACACGGACGGGCACGTGGCGGCCCACAGTCGCCCTTTCTCCCCCTTACAGCCTGTCACCGCCCTCGGTGACGCGGAACCCCCGGGCCCTCCCGACGCCGGTGCCGCGCCTCCCCCGCCGCTCCTGAGCCCGCTGGGAGGGCACAGAGGAGCCACCCCGGGACTGTGCGCGCAGCTGCGAGGTTCGGCATCAGAGGGGGGGCCTGGCATCCCCCAGCCGAGCCGAGCCGAGAGGACGCCGGCAGGCGCAGAGGGCGGCCCTGTCCCCAGAGGCTCGCGAAGGGGCCGCGCAGGCCGAGTGACCCCAGTGGAGGGCCCGAAGCCACTGCCGGGGGCCGCTCGGCTGGAGGCCTGACCTCGGGGCAACACCTGCACCCCCAAGCCCCAGGCGGGCGCCGGACACCCGCTCCCCAATTCCGGCCGACGGGGAAGGGACTCCCCGCCGCCTCCGCCCCCGCTTCCCAGGGCCGGGGCCATTGGGTCGTGTCCCGCGTCCTTGCGTGGCTCGTGCTGGTGCGCGCGCGCCGACCCCACCGCCTCGCCTCGGTTGCCGGGTCTAGGTGTCTCCCCAGGAGCGCGGCCGCCCAGACCCGCCAGAACCGCGCGCGAGGCGGAGCCAGGCAGGCGGCGGGGCCCGTGGGCGCCCCCTGGCGGCCGCGTAGACGGCGCCTGCCGCCCGCAAGCCCCCAGTGAAAGGGGCGGATTTGGCTGCGGCGCCCGGAGGACGGTTCCAGGAGGCTGGGGCGCGCGAGCGGGACGAGCCGGTGGGACGGGCTGTGCGCGAGGCGTCCGACGCCGGGAGATTGTGAGCGCAGGTACTTGGGGGAGGCGGTCAGCGTGCTCGCCCGGGGAGGCAGGGGCTGCGCGCTCCACTGGTCGACCAGCTCACCGCGGGGTCTGCGCCTCCTCCCGCGGCCCGCCGGGACCCCCAGCCCGCCCAGGTCCCGCTAGGAGCCCGGAACCCCCCAACCGCCTGGGTCGCCCAGATCGCCCGGAACCCCCAGCCCTCCCGTGGTGCCCAGGCCACCCAGTAAACCCCTCAGCCTACCCGGGGTCTGGGGCGCCCAGCCCGCCGGGACCCCTGCCCGCCCGGAGATCCCCGCAGCCCACCCGGAGCCTGCGGCGCCCAGCCCGCCCGGAGATCCCCGCAGCCCACCCGGAGCCTGGTGCGCCCAGCCCGCCGGGAACCCAGCCCGCCCAGAGATCCCCGCAGTCCACACGGAGCCTGCGGCGCCCAGCCCGACGGGACCCCCGCCGGCCCGGGAACCCAGCCCGCCCGGAGATCCCCGCAGCCCACACAGAGCCTGGGGCGCCCAGTCCGCCGGGAACCCAGCCCGCCCAGAGATCCCCGCAGCCCACACGGAGCCTGCGGCGCCCAGCCCGACGGGACCCCCGCCGGCCCGGGAACCCAGCCCGCCCGGAGATCCCCGCAGCCCACACGGAGCCTGCGGCGCCCAGCCCGACGGGACCCCCGCCCGCCCGGGAACCCAGCCCGCCGGGAGATCCCCGCAGCCCGGGGGACCTACCCAGCGCGGGGCGCACATCTGCCGGGCGGGTCCGAGGGGGGGAGGCAGCGGCTGTCCCACGCCCGGGACTTCATCTTCGTCGGCCCAACTGCCGCGTCCCGCTCCGAGGGAGGGAGCCCCGGTGGTGCTCAGGGGATGAGATGGAACACCATGGTCCAGCCCCGCTCCTGCCGCTGCCGTGCCCAGAGGTCGGAAGGGCCGGGGCCAGGGCAGGGGCCGGGGCCCGCGAGCCTGGGGGACCTGGAGCCGCAGCCGGGCCAGCAGCCGCAGGTGAGGAGGCCGAGAACCTGGTGCGAGGGGCGCTGTCGCGGGGGCCGAACGCCGGAGCTGCGGGCGCGGGGTCTGGGGCAGGACCCGCAAGTTGCGAGCTTCGGGTCCAAGCCCCCAGAAAGACCCAGGCCGGGGGCCGCAAACTGGGGTCGGCGCAGCGCATGAAGCAGGGGGCCTGGGGCGGAGCCGCGAGCCCGGGGCCGGATCCCGGAGCCACAAGACGGGGGTCTCCTGCAGGGCCGGAGCTGTGCTCGGGGAGGGCTGCGGCGGGGAGAAGTCCCCGCCCGAACGGTCGAAACTAGATGGCCCCGCAGCGGGGTCTCGCCCGTCCCCGCACTGCCCCGCGCCCAAGGTCGACCAGAGGCCCTGGGGCGCAGGGAAAGGGGTCGTGCTGTGGGGCGGGGGCCGGGCCGCCTCTCCAGAGGCCCGCGGGGGCCTACGGCTTGGCCACGTCCCAGGGCGCCGAGATTTTTTTTGGCCTGAAATCGGCGGTTTTTGCCTCCAGACTATCGGTGGTTCCTCTTTCTGTGCGGAGCCTCGCGCGTTCCCCCACCCCGCTTGTAAAACCTTCCGTGCGCCGGGCCCCCGGGGCCCCGAGTGCCCCCGCCAGCGCGAGCAAGTTTGTGGTCTTACTGGTTTCACGCGGGCGCTCCTGCCAGTGGTCTGCGGGAACAGACCACGTCCGTCCAAGCGAAATGGCGCCCTTAAAAAAAAGCAATAATCAGTTTTTCTTGAAGAGAGCGGTTCCGAGCAGCTGCAACGACATATTGCTTCGCAGGTCTCGGCTCACTGGGCGCGCTGCCGCACGGGCCGAAAGTTTCTTGAGGCTTTCCAAAACCCAGCTTGTTGGTTCCGGGGTGCACTTGTGTCGTCCACGCTAGTAGTGACTTTTTCCATGGCCTGCCTTCACGCCCGGATGCCCGACGAGTGGGGGACCGTCGTCCCCTAGTGAACGATCCATATTCAGGATCCTACTTATCGGCTGTTTTTCTGATGGCTGCGCAGCCCAATTCCTGCTGATTCTGGAGGGTCATCCCCTCACTGTTTGGGGCGGGGCCCGATGGGGTCTGAGCTCTCGTCTCACGCCAAACCCCACGCTAATGCGCCGCCAGTGTGGGGCCATGTTCCCGCAATAGCGCAGCCAGTGTGGGGCGCTGGCTTCCTGGAGCCGATGGGCGCTGTGCCGCGAAGGTGGGGTAGCGAGAAGACAAGCATCTCCAGAGATCCTGCATCCCGGCCCGCACGTCGCTGTGATGCACGCGGTTTTCCAAGAACAATTTCTGTGTGTTCTGGGGCGCTGTGCCCTTGCTCACAGAAAGCTCCTTGCGGGCAGTGCTCCCGATGCATTCCTTATGCGCATTCCTGCCCCCTGGAGCTGGTGCCCCACAGTAGTGTGTGGACGTAGATAGAAGTGTCTCGTGGGG